TCAAAACGAACCATGCCCACGTAGTTTTGCTCGAACTCTGGCACAAGATACAAACACATGTATAATGACTTATAAAGGAGAACTTCTTCTTTTTTCAGATATCTCACACCTTGAAAAGATCTTCCTACTTCATGATTCAAACAGGCTTAAAGGCCAACCACCATCAAAAGGATTTTTGATATAAGCGATCATAAAAAGCCTACGGGCTAAGATACTTTGAGTTCGAGTTCGAAACGATCACTCACTCAATTATTAAAGCCTAAGGGCTATCTTACTTCGAGTTCGAGCAATCACTCACTCGATCATAAAAGGCCTACGGGCTACGATACTCTGAGTTCGAGTTCGAAACAATCACTCACTCAATTATTAAAGCATAAGGGCTATCTTATTTCGAGTTCGAGCAATCACTCACTCGATCATAAAAAGCCTACGGGCTAAATATTTTGAGTTCGAGTTCGAAACAATCACTCACTCAATCATAAAAAGCCTACGGGCTACGATTCTTTAAGTTCGAGTTCGAATCATTCACTTGACTACTAAGCCTGTGGGCTACTTTTATTTCGAGTTCGAGCAAACACTCACTCGTCCATAAAGGCTACGAAGGCCGAATTCGATGAAATCGCCTAAATCCTTATGAAACCATTCGCAAGGCATGAATGAAATCTTCACAAGGCAAGAAAGCAGAAGCAAGTCAGTAAAAGAAAAAGATATTAGTATAAATATACAAAGATTGTTTACATGAATAAATGCAACATAGAAGCTAAGGGCTAAGCTTCTGGGTTATCATCGAAATGGGTCTCTTCTCCACCGGGCTCCCCTATTATCAGACCCGCTCTTGCTACGATCATCATCATCATCATCATTGTCGCCATCAGAAGCCAAGGCTTCAGCATCAGCTTCGAGTTCTTTGGCCCTCTTTATCTCTTCAGCAAGATCGAAACCTCTAGTGTGTATCGCCTCGAGGGTCTCCCTCCGAGATCGACACTTAGCAAGTTCGACAACCCAATGTGCTCGAGTGTCGGCAGTATCCGCTGCCTCTCTTGCCTCCATTTGAGCAGCCTCGACATCGGCTCGATACACAACAATAGACTTGTCCGCCATGACTTTCGATGACTCAATATCCACCTTGGCCTCAGCTAGCCTTGTTTCAAGCTCCTCGATCCTCTTGGCCTGAGCCGAACCTTTTTGCTTGATGCTTCGAAGCTGAACATCGACCGATGATAATCTGGCCAAGATAGTTTCTTTTTCTGCAGCCAGGTGGTTGATAATCTCCTTCTACCGATCACATTCGGCCTTAATTTGATCGACTTCTTCCCGAAGCAACCCAATCTTTTCAACCTTTTGCTGCAGCTGAGATAACGAAGGGTTAGCTTCCAAAGTTGGGTCAAACCCATATTCTAACAGAACAAGACTCACCTGCTTATCTAGTTCGGCCTCTTCTTCACGAGCCTTAGCCAAATCTGCTTGGAGGTCCCTTATAACCTCGTCCTTTTGGCCACAAAGAAGCCGCTGAAAATCTCTCTCCCCCGAGACCTTCTGAAGCTCGACCTCACACTGGCTGAGGTCGGCTCGAAACTTGCTAATGGCCTGCACAGAAGGGAAAAAACACAAGTCAGGTTTAGAAAAGAATGAAGAAACCAAGCGCAGTAAAATCATTACCCGAGAAATAAAACATTGGGCCTCTTCTAGGAGAAGAGAAGCGTCACTAATATCGGAGGCATCACCGACTCCAGTAAAGTAATCCCGAAAAGGATCCCCTACACTAGAGCCTCCGCCCATATCGGGGGTCTTCAATTCTCGAGTTTCCTTTAACGCCTCCTCAGAAAAGGTCGGAAGAGAAGGCAAATGACCCACTATCATGGCCCCGAGCGAATCGCTCGGGACATTCTGATCGAGACTCGGGGTATCGGAACTGTCCCCGACCGGTGTAGCCGTCATCGGCTCAGAAGGTCTGGCGACCTTGATAGCTTTCGCGGATCAGACCACCAAAGCCAAAGCATATTCTTCTTCTTCTTCTTCTTCTTCTTCTTCTCTCAGTCGTTGGACCGAGTCCATCGAAAGAGCAATTGTCTTCCTCCTCACCCTTCGAGTTTTGGGCTTGAGGTCCTCTGACCGAGAGACAACTTTTCGCTTTTTATCTTTCCCCGGTTTCGGGACCGGGGACTTGGTTCCTTCCTCATCACTCGAAGGCCTCAAAATGACATCATTCATTACACCTGCATGAGAGGAAGTCAGTAACGAATGGAGCATAAAAAATGTTTCGAAAAACATGAGGAGTGACCCTTACCGTGATTCTTGGCCTCCCACCTACCTTTTGCCAAATCACGCCAAGCGCGTTCGGCATAAGAGGAAGTCGAGGCTAACTTCCGAACCCAATCCTCGAGGTCGGGTACCTCTTGTGGCATCCAAGGGGCAGCTGTATATCAGAGGGAGATATCAGATATAATCAGAGAGAGAAGAAAAGCATCGCCTTATGAAAATCACTTACAGTCAAAATTCCATTCCTCGGGTAACAGCATATTCTCTTCCGGGATAAGGTCACGGGTCCTCACCCGAATATAACGGCCCATCTAACCCCGATCCTTGTCTTCGTCGATGCTCGACATTAAAGCTTTCGTTGCCCGACGATGGAGCCTGATTAGTCCTCGAAAGATTTGAGGCCGATACAATCGTATGAGGTGATTTAGGGTAAAATCCAGCCCCCCGGCCTTGTTAGAGAAGAAGCGAAGTAAGATTACTATGCGCCATAGAGAAGGATGAATTTGACCGAGGGTGACCTGATATCTTTTGCAAAAATCAATGATCACTGGGTCGACGGGACCCAACATGAAGGGGTAAGTATAAACACTTAAAAACCCCTTAACATGAGTGATGATGCTCTCTTCGGGAGAGGGAATTTGCAACACAACCTCGGGACCCCAGTTGCAGTCTTTCCTCACAGCCTCGAGATGACCCTCTGTTATCGAGCACATGTACATCGACACATGCTCACATCGACCCGGAACCGACGAAGGATTTTCAACCTTAAAATCGATCTTTAGAGTACACATGCCAGGAACATACTCGTGGGGAGGCGGCTCTACCGGCGCCTTGTCGCCGGACGGCCGTGAAGATGAAGCTTTCTCCTTCTGAGGTACGGTTTTTGAAGTTTTTGCCATTGATATAAGAAAAAGAAAAGCAAAGGAAGATGAAAGGTTGATGGTGCCAAACGCTGGTGAAGGTGGCTCTACAAACGGCGAATTAGAGGCAGAAAAAGTAAGAAAATTTGGGAGATTGAAGATGTAAAAGTAGTAAATGATAAATAGAAGGGTTATTTATAGGTTTATACCGTGGCGGTTCAGTATCAGCGGTGGCCGACCACCGTCTGACATGCATTAAATACCTTGAAAGACTAAATCGACGGGACAACTATCACGTACGTCATGATCGAGCCCAGTGAAAGCGTCAGCTTATAATCCGATCGAGCCATTGAAAATCATATCGCTTCTCACCACATTTTTCCTGAGAAACGAGGGGACTATCTGTATACGGTCGAAATAGATTTCGGCCTTCGTACGTTTGATCGAGTTCGAATGGTAAGCGACCGAAGTGAGACTTCGAGATGAGTTCCGAAGATAGTACAAACGAGCTTCGAGGTCCAAGACTGATCGAGGAATCGACTCGATATCATTATCGAGCTCATGACCAAATCGAACCGCAAGGCAATGTGAAGGTTGTCAGAGACGCACAGACCGATTGACATTCACCCCGAATGTCGAACTCGAACCAAGGCCGAGGGCTCGATCCAATAACCGAGCTCGAGCCAGTATCGAGCTCACAGACAAGAGCCGTTACAACCACACTAGGGGAGAGAATCTTGGCGGGAATCGAGGAAGAGACAATTCATCATGGATTCTCCATTATATATTTTTTATTATAAATAAAGTAAGATCCCTCTACTATAAAAGGGGGAATCCTTGTAAGCATAGGGCAGGTTCACACATTGTAAGAAAAGACTACTCCTCTTATTGAAGAATAAATCTCTTGAGCTTGTTTTACTCAGCATACTCACTCTTCTTGTTCGATAATCTGTTTTTATAGCCAAGAATCTAAACATTTCCACTTATACGTACGATTTATGTCAAGCTATATCACATATCCTTAGAACTACTTATAAATTTATAAATTTAACTATATCCGATTTTTCGGGTAAACAACCTCTTTGACTTGCATAGATAGAATAATACAGAGATGTATTAGAAATTATAATTTGTAAATTTCAAACAAATATTAGGCTCTCCCACTCTGCTTGCATAATTATTTGCTGACTGTGATCTAATTGAGGCAGTTCAATTGTTTTAAGCACATCGAGTTGATAGGGAGGAAAATGTAACTTGCATGTCTACCACGGGAAAGTGCGCAACTAATTCTTCGGCAGACATTTGGACTGCGCAAAACTGTTTATAACTTAAGTATAAAGTATACCTTTTGTAACTTTCTTTTTTATCTATAACAAAGAAATTTCCGAGTATCAGTTATGACTTATGCACGATACAGAATTCGACTGATAATGAACTTACCATTCTATCTTTTATCATTTAATTACCTGACATTTACTTGTTACAGAGTTCAACTATGGATAATGAACTTACCCCTCTACCTTTTTCCATTTAAAATCCAGACTACTTTTAGCTGTTATGGAATTCCAACCATTTATGTGCGTCTGATCCACACCATGCTAATACTCTCTATCTTTTTGTAGCAGCTTCTTATACTATTGTGGCAATAATTAGAGCGGCTTGCTTATTTCATTTGCACAATCGATTCAGTCATGTTTGGCAAATATTTGTTACTTAAGGAGAAAACTGCCTATAGGGTATTCTTAGACATGGTTTCACCAAAAGGAAGCAACCTGGAAGCCGTACCACAACTTCAATATTGAAACCAAAATACACTCACATTTTCAGACTCGATCATTGTTTGACTTCTCACCTGAAAATGATGCTGTTTGACCAAAAACATAAGGACAATCAAGATTTTAACTAAATTTAGAAGAAAAAAAAACTGAGAAAAGGCATATACTGTAATATTTACAGCTTCCTTCATTAGAAAGGACATACATTTACAGAAGATCACAGTATGGAGTTAACTGCAATCTGACTATGCCCTACCTAATGTTGTTAGTTCAGTCAACGCAAAACTAACTGCCCAAAATTCTATAGAGAAACTATGAACTACCTTGCCATGTATCATATGTGACATTTTGTAACCACTTCCTAGCCAAGGAGGTAGAAACTTGATGGTTTAAATATGATGGATTTATACATCATATACAGGCAAGCGCTCCTCAATACAGACACGGCAGATAGGGCATCTCTTACATTTTTCACAGCAGGTACTGCACCACATCAGAAAAGAATGAACAGTTATATTATCGGCGAGTAAACAGTATGCTTGCCCACAAAGGTAGAGCATAATACCTGCAAAGGACGCGATGCCTGCAAGGGAGTAGCACTGTACTAATCTCTCCTTCAAAACAAACCCTACATAAAACTTTTTCCTGCAGAGCATAAAAAATCAATTGGAAGTTAATGTGATCAACTATACAAGAAGAAGATCTCACATTAACAAATGTAACATTTTGCACACAAGAAAAATGAGATTGTTCAAAATCACACAACAAACTCCACCACCCACATCGTCTCAAACAGCTACCATTATCCAATATATCTCAAGCTAAGACGGATTAACTAAACCATAGTATTACATTTATCTAAGTATTCATTTAGATCACCAGAAATGAAATGTAAATGTTACCAGAACTCCTGGGAGCGAAATGTGAAGATAAATCGGAGAATGTCAATGATTATTATTATTTTTATTTTTATTTTTTTTGATAATGTCAATGATGTACAACCTAAGGATCACTAATTAGCGGATTGGGCGTAGCTGTTGTTGTGGTCCTAGGTACAACTTAAGATATTCCCATTAGCATGTACTATTTCATGCCAAGAGGCAGAAGAAAGCTATAGTTAAATTACAGTCTCTTCAGTCATTAGTAACTTCAGTTAGTGTAACTGTCAAATGTTTTATTTTCCCCTCAGAAGACAGTGGAAGTAATAATGATGATAGTAATCAAAAATTCAAGTTGAAAACAATAAGATTTCTAGTAGTCCATGGCTAGGTTCGGGATTTAAAAGTAAGAAACAATATTAATAGAAAGATTCAGACAAATGTAGCTTCATAGTCCGATGGAAGTCAAAATTATTTAACCAAAGCTGAAAGATACCATAGCCAATAATGTAACTATAATAATTAATTAGAAAGTACAAGTATAGCCCATGAAACATAATCATGCAATATACTGAAAATGGATGAAAGATCTTATCTCCTGCACCACAGAGTTGTGAAAGCCTAAGCGAAATTAAGAAGCTTACATTTTGAAGTCTTTCATATTCCTGCTGGCTCAATTTAGTGATTTCTGCTTGCTCACCCAGAGCTGCTTGAAGTCTCCAAACCTATGACAAAGCCCAAACAAAAGACAAAAGTTAAGGAAATACAGAATAAGCAGAACAGAGAGCAATCAATAAAATGGTATGAACACAATTTCAAATTTTTGTGGGGATGTATGGTAAAAAAAGAAAACAATATGATTGCAAGTAAATAGCAAGAGTTATTATTACAAGAGTAATTGTTTTATCAATGAAAAGCAACTGATCATCAAAAAAAGGGTATGAACATGCTATTAAAATATTGTCGGCACTTACCCTACCTCTCCCCCCCCCCCCCCCACACACACACACAAAAAAAAAAGATGTATTTCACGGAAAATGTGTTAGATGAACAAAAAGCAACTGTTTATCCAATAGAACGTATGATCATATAAAAATTTTGTAGGAAAGTACGATCAAGTGACAGTTATGAACTTGTGAGGGAATCTCCGGGAGATATCATTACTGTGTATATAGTTTTTTTATCAAGAATTTTATTTGCTATATCGGTATACATGGCAGAGATTATTAGATTTCAGGAAATTGTCATATAATATCATACACAACTTGGTTTTAAAATATAAATCCCGAAAAGTTCATAAGTGGAGAGAGAAATGTAACGTTAAACTTACCTCCTCAGCAAGATCCTTCTTGGGCATTTTCTTGACTATTTCAGGTGGATAACCACAAAAAGTATTATACCTACAAAACAATAAGTAGTTACTATAATGAACTAAAGCCTCTTTTTTTTCTTTTTTTTTTGATGGGTAAATAATATATTATATAAATATTTGCACTAAGCCAGCGCAACAGGCGTAAGTACAGGTTGTGCAAATCAGCAATTGCGTCTAAAATATCATCTACATCTGGTACAAGAACCAGTTTGCACCAAAAAGCGATCAACAAAATGCAATTAAGTTTAAGGCACCGTAAATTTCTTCTTTTGCCTTAAAAAATTCTATTGTTTCTTTCAAGCCAGACAGACCACTAGATAACTTGAGGTACAGTGTTCCAGGTCTTTTGAGCTTTCTTGCATAGACCCTCCCTGGTCCAGCACTTCAGCAATTCTGAAATGGGGTTTGGCATGGTCCAAGACATACCAAATATTGAAAAGAACATGTTCCATAACTGGTTTGTAACGTTGCAATGCAAAAAAAAGGTGGGTAACATCTTCAAATTGTTCTTCACATAAAGGACATCTGCTGCACAGCTTGAAACCCCTCTTCTGGAGATTGTTTTCTGTGAGGCATGCCTCCTTAGCCACAATCCAAGCGAAACAAGAAACCTTTAAAGGTGCCATGTTGTACCATATTTTTTTCCAAGGCCATAACTCACTATTGCTAAAACCCAGCATATTGTAACAACTTTTAACTGAAAAAATGCCCTTGGAGTGACTCTTCCAACTGATAGAGTCCATTTTGTTGTGGTCCAAAACAGCGTTGCTTAGCATTTGTAGCAAGAGGCCTACCCTCTCCATTTCCCAATCATTAATATTCCTTCTAAGACTCAAATTCCAGCCTTGCGATGTATAGAAATCTGCAATTGCCCCATTGTGACGCAAGGATAGATTATAAAAATCTGAAAATTGGTCTTTTACTGGCGTATGACCCAACCATGCATCTTCCCAAAACCTGATTTTCCCTCCATTGCCAAGAATAAAATCCATGTTTGACTCAAACTTGTTCCAATGTCCTCTAATATGTTTCCATAAACCGGTGCCATGAGGCACTCTAGACTCTTTGGTGCGCCATGGATTGTCCAACGAAAACTTTTCCACCAAAGTTCTCCTCCAAAGTGCATTTTCCTCCATGTTGAATCTCCAATGCCACTTCATCAGAAGACTTTCATTATGATTCTTAAGGTTCTTAATTCCCAGACCCCCCTTCCTTTTGTCTTTGATGACTGTTTTCCAATTTACAAGGCAAATAGGCTTTGATAGTTTATTGCCATTCCAAATAGCCTCTTTTTTTTTTCTTTTGATCACGATAATAAAATAAAGTCTCGTAATACTGCAGGAGTAATAGCAGACTTCATTTCAGCCACATTCACAATTCACGAATCTAGTAATTGCTCGTGCAAAGAAAAGCAAAAGGCGCTAGTGCTACCATAAGCTTTAACATCACTGAACTATAAGGACTGAACAAACTCCAATTCTATGAGTAGGAGTGTTCAAAAAAGGTTTAAAAAAAAAGACTGAACAACAAACTAATTTACAACAACGTAACAAACCGCCGTGTTCTTTGATTTGGTCAATGTGGTGTTAATTCTGAGAAACAGACAATCTGGTATGGCTCTGCTATTTACAGAAAATGTTGAAACGACACCAAACCGACAATATTTCTCTCTATTTGTTTTTGTAGATGAGATTATCAACCCAAACTATGGTTGGCTTCTCAAGTTGATGAAGTTTGTTTCAGCTCTTGTTTAGACATATTCATTGCAAGTGAATTAAGGATTTCAATTATTCAATTAAATAGTTACATTATTTTGCTCCTTCACCTATGCAGAACCATCTTAAAGATATGGCCTTCATAAATCATCTTTTACCACTGTCCAGCATTTCTGATAGAAACCTATTAAATACCCATTTTGGAACTTATTTAGCTAATGCATGTAGTTGGCTTATTCTCTCTAAGGCAGAAACTATACTAAAGCCAAACTGCAAACACCCTTACTGTAGAGTTTAATTTTGGATTTAATAAGTTTTTTAGGGCGGAGGTAAATTTATAGAACCTAACAGAAAAACCAAGCTCAATTTATAAAATAAAAAGTTCAAAATCTACAAATTTCATCTTGGGAATCTTAGATCATGGACAAATTGTGAAGTGCGAGATGATTTCAGTAGCAACATCATGCTTAAAGCGGGAAATGGAAACATGATTATCATTTGGAAGCCTAGATGGCATGACAAATATACTCTCAGTAATGTCTTCCCAACCATCTTTAGTATATCGAACTCTTTGGCATTTGAGATTCAGAAGAAACCTAAAAGATGGCGGAATTCTTTGGGAATTGAGATTTAGAAGTAATGTAAAGAATTGGAAAATTGAGTTCCAAAACCTCATGAAATTACTTTATGATCAGAACATCACAGTTTTGGACCATGATCATGCAAATGGAATGAGAATGGAAGCGGAATTCTTTCAGGGAAGTCCTTCGACCACAGATTAGTAAGAAGGGAGGACAAATGATCAATTCCAGAGCTCCTAGAAAGGTACGCCTTTTCACTTGAGGGGTATACTTTTCACTTGACTGGCAGTAAGGGGTACCATTTTTACAGCCAATTATTTGAGGAAAGGCAACAACAACAACAACATCCAGTGTATTCCCACAAGTGGGGTCTGGGGAGGGTATGATGTACGCAGCCTTACCCCTACCCTGGAAGGGTAGAGAGGCTGTTTCCGGAAGACCCTCCGCTAAAAAGATGTAAGAAGCACTGATAACAAGTAGTAACAATACAGGATATTTAGAAAACTAAATCCAAGATAACAAAGGGGAAGATGAAAGAAGTACTTATCACAAATAATAACAGTGCAAGATATATAATGATATCAAACTAAAGGATACTGATGGCAAGTACTAACAATACAAGATATGTGAAAATAGCAAACTAAGGGTAAAAAGGATACCATACTAATACTAATACTAATACTGTTGAACCAAGGAAGACAAAGGGAAACGCTCAACTACATACTAACCTTCTACTTTAATTCTCAACCTCCACACCCTCCTATCAAGGGTGATGTCCTCCGTAAGCTCAAGATGTGCCATGTCCCGCCTGATCACCTCTCCCCAAGACTTCTTCGGCCTACCTCTATCCTTCCTCTTACCCCCAAGGCCAACCTCTCACACCTCCTGACCAGAGTATTTGTGTTTCTCCTCTTAACATGCTCGAACCATCTCAGCCTCGCCTCTCACATCTTTTCCTCCACGGGGGTCACTCCCACCTTGTACCTAATAACTTCATTCCCAATTCTATCTAACCTCGTGTGCTCTCACATCCATCTCAACATCCTCATCTCCGTTACTTTCATCTGCTGGACATGGGAGTTCTTAACTGGCCAGTACTCTGCCTCATACAACATAGTCGGTCTAACCACTATCTTGTAGAACTTCCCTTTAAGTCTCAACGGCACATTCTTATCGCACAAGACACCGGAAGCGAGCCTCCACTTCATCCNGCGAGAGAGCTTCTATGAATCGTTGGATTTGACCACTTCGTACAAACAAGAAAAGCAAAGCACTCAGCAATACTGCCAAAACAGATGTTGAACTCTGTCAGTTTTAGCCAAATCCACTATAAGAAGAAAGACGACTAAGAGCATCACAAAAATGAAGTACCCATAATTTATAAACAAGTCCCACCAGCCCAGAGCGCCAACATCACCTGGAACAACAAAGGAATAGTGTAAGAATAGGTATTATTGCTGCAAGGAATATACCCCTACATGTATACATACATGTTTTGGAAGAAAGATCAATTAATCAAAAAAAACAAAAACAAAGAATAGGTATTAGTGACGTAAAACACTTGCATACTATAAATAAACCAGTCAAACCTTGGATTACATTTAGAATTGAAATATAACTCCCCTATGAATTCCAGGATTTTCAATTTTCTGCATACAACAGACCCTTGTGGTCCGGCCCTTCCCCGGACCCCGCGCAAAGCGGGAGCTTAGTGTACCGCTGCCCTTTTTTTTCCATCTCAATATTTCATCAACCAATGAATAGACATAGAAGTGAATATCCAAAGACCACTTTCGGCCACTTTATTTTTCAAGATTCTCCATTGCAGGCATCCAGAATACACAAAGTTACAAGAAGGAATTGAGTTAGCTCCATTACAACAAAAGACACTTTTGGCCACATCGTATCACACCTAAAAGTTGTCGCGTAAAAGCACTTGGTTTTAAAGCACTAATCACTGGCAATGACTCGCTCTTCCCCGAAGAAATTACTGCTTTTCAATATTTAAATACTTGTAAGGATAAGTTCTCAATTGTGCCAAAAGAATATGGTGGATTCAAGACCATTAGTGGGCATAATTAAATGGAAGTAATTGTTCGAATAGTTATGTGAATATATATGTAATTAGTCATAGTCCTGTATGTAGTAGGAGTAGGTTATATATTATGTCTACTTATAAATAGAGTTCATTGTATTACAATTAATACCAATAATAGATTTTGCTCCCGTGCATTCTCACATGGTATCACAGCTAACATGAGTGATTCATCGCTGTGCAAAAATACCAGACTCCGGGAAGAAGAAATCAGTTAACCGGAAAATTTTCCGGTGACTACAGGTCTGTCCGATTTAAAAGTTCTTTTCTGTGGGTGTTGTGCAAAAACCAACACCACCATGAGGTAGATCACCCTTCGACGACCAACCCTGAAAAAAATCTCCGCCAGAATACCTGTCACGCGCCGCTGACAGTGAATTTTCCTGCGAGATCTCCAACCCATGCACCGGCGCGTGCAGACTGTTCCGGCCATTTTTTGGCCCAGCTTCTTCAGGCTAGCTTTCTCGGGAGGTAATTCCGAGCATATCCATATAATTTTCTTTCTAATCCGACAACTTTGAAATTTTCCGGCGATTTTCCGGCGTGAACAGTTTTTTTCCTATTGTGAACAGTGTTTTCCCAGCTATTTCTTCAGTTTTCCCATAGGAGTTATTGATGTTTTGTTTTATTTCTTGATGACTTTGTTTTTATACAGGAACGCAGTACGAGGCAGATCATTGGTACCGGGAGTGAATCAAATGGACTTTATTACCTTATCCTTGCTAAATCACATGAACTCACATCTTATCTTTCTTCAACAACTTGTCATGTTACTGATTCACCACATAAACGGTTGAGACATCCCAGTTTATCAAAACTTCATAAAATGGTACCTGGATTATCTCGCGTGTCCACTCTAGAGTGTGAGTCATGTCAGCTCGATAAGCATACTTGCTCCCATTTCTCTCGACGTCTTGATAATCGAGCATAGTCACCTTTTACTTTAGTCTATTCAGATGTGTAGGGTCCTAGTCGAGCTAGTTCTACCTTGGAATTTCGCTACTTTGTCAGTCTCATTGATGTTTATTCCGGGTGCACTTGGATATTTTTGATAAAAAATCGATCTGAGTTGTTTTCTATTTTTAGAACTTCCACGCTGAAATTCAAAATCAATTTGGGGTTTCTATCCGCACATTTCGTAGTGATAATGCCCTAGAGTATTTGTCTTCCCCATTTCAGCAGTTTATGTTCCTCGTGGGATTATTCATCAAACATCTTGCCCGTACACATCTCAACAAAATGGGGTAGCTGAAAGAAAGAATAGACATCTTATTGAAACTGCTCGTACCCTACTCATACAATCTCATGTTCCGTTGCGTTCTTGGGTGATGCAGTTTTTACAACTTGCTATCTTATTTCGTATGTCATCTTCAGCTATCCAGAATCAAGTTCCATTCTCTGTAATATTTCCCCACTTACCTTTGTTCTCTCTTCCACCCCGTGTCTTTGGGAGCACATGTTTTGTTTATAACCTTACTTTAGGAAAAGATAAGTAAGCTCCCCGTGCTCTTAAGTGTGTATTTCTGGGTTACTCGAGAACGGCGGTACCTTATGTATGCTGATGTTACCTTCTTTGAAACCCAATCATACTTCACAGGTCCAGGTAATCACTTAGATATTTCTGAGGTGTTGCCAGTTCCATCTTTTGGAGATTCAGTCACTATCTCCCATTCATCTTCCTCTACAACTCTAGCTCCACCACCTACCGCTCCAGTTGCAGCTCCATCACCTGTCGCCCCAGTTCCACCACCTAGTCAAGTTCAACCTTCTGCAGCTCCACCACTCCCGACTTATCATCGTCGTCTGCGCCCAGCATCAGGCCCACCTGATTCACGTCCTGCATCTGACCTTGCTAATACTACGGACTTGTCTCCTCTTAGGTAACCAATTGCACTACGGAAAGGTATATGATCCACACTTAATCATAATCCTCATTATGTCGGTTTAAGTTACCATCGTGTGTCATCACCCCATTGTGCATTTGTATCATCTTTGTCCTCTATTTCTATCCCTAAGTCTACAGGTGAAGCAGTGAAGCACTGTCTCATCCAGGATGGCGACAAGCTGTGATTGACAAGATGTCTGCTTTACATATGAGTGGTACTTGGGAGCTTGTTCATCTTTCTTCGGATAAATTGACTGTTGGTTGTCCTTGGGTGTATGCAGTCAAATTTGGTCCAGATGGCCAGGTTGATCGACTTAAGGCTCGTCTTGTTGCCAAAGGGTATACTCAGATATTTGGGCTCAATTACAGTGATACTCTCTCTCACAGTGTTGTGAAGAGCGTGAAGCGAGGAAAAGCGACAAGCCCCTTTTCGCTTAAAGCGAGAAGCGAAGCGCTCGCTTTTTTGAAGTGAAGCGGAATTTTAAAAAAAATAAAAATAAATACTACATAGACAACACATGTAACTGTAAGCAAATGTTCAATACTTCAATGTAAAAACTAAAGAGTAACATCAATTAAAGCACAAAATGAGCATCATATTCTTCTACAAGATTAAATGAAATGAAAAAAATGACAGTAAGTATACGAAAAAAATGGTAGTAACTGAAACGAAAAAAATTGGGCAGCATTTCGCTGCAATTTATCATTGAAACGGTGAAAGAAAAGAAGAAGAAGATGAAGAAAAGAATGAGAAAAAGAACTGAAGGGAAAAAAAATTGCCAACATTTCGCTGCTATTTGGGACTGAAACAGTGAAAGAAAAAGAAAAAGGAAAAGAAGAAGAAGGAGGAAGAAATGACATACTTGGGCTTGAACTTGATAAACTTTTTAAATTTTTAACGTTGGCAGCCCTTAATATGTAGAAGCGCTCGCTTCTGTCGCTTTTACGCTTCTCGCTTTTTTTGCAGAAGCGCGCAGAAGCGCTCGCTTTATTCAACCTGCTACGCTTCACATCACAGAAGCGCCCGAGGTCTCGCTTCACGCTTTAAGCGCTGAAGCGAGCGCTTTTCACAACAATGCTCTCTCGCGGCTAAAATAGCATCAGTCCACCTTTTCCTATCCATGGTTGTTGTTCGCCATTGGCCTCTCTATCAGTTGGACATTAAGAATGTTTTTCTTCACGGTGACCTTAAGGATGAGGTTTATATGGAGCAACCACCTGGTTTTGTTGCTTAGGGGGATTCTAGTGGTCTTGTATGTCGGTTGCGCCAGTCCCTCTATGGTCTAAAGCAGTCTACTCGAGCCTGGTTTGGTAAGTTCAACACAGTTATTCGGGAGTTTGGCATGACTCGTAGTGAAGCTGATCACTGTGTGTTTTATCAGCATTCTGCTTCAAATCTATGTATTTATCTGGTGGTTTATGTTGAAGATATTATTATCACCGGCCATGATCAGGATAATATTACTTAGTTGAAGCAGCATCTCTTTCAGCACTTTCAGATAAGGATCTGGGCAGATTAAAGTATTTTCTGGGTATTGAGGTCGCTCAGTCTAGCTCAGGTATTGTGATCTCGTTACGGAAATATGCCTTAGACATTCTTGAGCAAACAAGAATGACAGGCTATAGACCTTGACACTCCTATGGATCCGAATTCTAAACCTCTGCCAGGGCAAGATGAGCCGCTTAGCGATCCTGCAAGATATAGGCGGCTGGTTGGTAATTAAATTACCTCACAGTGACTAAATCTGACATTTCCTTTCCTGTAAGTGTTGTATGTCAGTTTATGGATTCTCCATGTGATAGTCATTGGGATGTAGTTGCCCGCATTCTTGGGTATATAAAATCAGCTCCAGACAAAGTACTATTGTTTGAGGATCTTGGCCATGAGCAAATCATTGGATACTCAGATGCTGATTAGGCAGGATCACCTTTTGATAGACGTTCTACGTATGAATATTGTGTTTTAGTAAGAGGTATCTTGGTGTCTTGGAAGAGCAAGAAACAGAATGTTGTTACTCAACCTAGTGTAGAAGCAGAATATCGAGCAATGGCTATGGCAACATGCGAGCCAGTTTGGATCAAACAGTTGCTCAAAGAGTTAAAATTTGGTGAGATCAGCCAAATGGAACTTGCGTGTGATAGTCAAGTTGCCCTACATATTGCATCGGATCCAGTGTTCCATTGAGAGAACTAAACATATAGAGTCATATTGAGATTGACTGTCACTTCGTCAAAGAAAAGATACTCTCAGGAGATATTACTACAAAGTTTGTAAAGTAGAATAATCAGGTTGCAGATATTTTCACCAAGTCCCTCACTGGTCCTCGTATTAGTTATATATGTAACAAGCTCGGTACATATGATTTATATGCACCAACTTGAGGGGAAGTGTTAGAATAACTATGTGAATATATATGTAATTAGTCCTAGTCCATTATGTAGTAGGAGCAGGTTATATATTATGTGTACTTATAAATAGGGTTTATTGAATTACAATTAATATCAATAATAGATTTTTCTCTCGTGCATTCTCACAGTAATGAACTAAAACGGGCTTCTACAATATCAAGGTATGACCAGCAAATGCAACAATGGACCTCAAATATCTACCTATTCAGGCTTCTGTTTAAAGAAATGTCTCTGATGCCTTTGACAAATTAGCAACAAAACATTGAGAATTTCTCCTTGTTGCTTTCTGCTGAAAATAATTAGTGCCCTTTTGTGACTTCACTTCCCAAAAGAACTTGCCTAAATTTGGGAGTCTTTCAGTTTCTTCATTTACTCTTTTTTTCAGATGACATAATTTAGGGTTTAAAGAGAAGAAATGATGAACTGACATAGGCTTAAAGAAAAACTGACAAGCAACCACAAATGAATAGGACTTGTTTTGCAAGCCCCTGCTTCTCCTATAAACATGACTTAAGGGCATCTTGCACTGTCATCCTGTTACTTAAACAAATATAATCATGTACTTTTTGTCAAAATGACTACACAAAAACTCGAGGAATCCAATTGTACATCAATAAACTTCAACTGTCAGAATGGATAACCTTTAGGAAAGAGTAACCCCCCCACCCCCAAAGTTAGGCGGCAAAATAAAAAAATGGAGTGAAGTTGCTTTGGGCTGCACCTCTCAAAGAAACAAATATAATAAACAAAATCCACAACTAGAGAGAGAGAGAGAGAGGTACATACCACACAACTTCAGAAGGGTGAACACTGTAGCAGCAACAAAGAAAACCATGGAGATCGCCACCCAGAAATGCTAGCAAGCATAAGATCATTATTCAGTTAAAGCCTTCTTCTTGCATTCTCCACATTATTAAGAAAACAAGAAGAAAGTTTAACAGCTATAACCAAACTATTTTCTGATAAATATCCGTTTTTGCTTTAAGATAAGTAATACCAAGTTACCTTTTTTTTTTTTTTTATATAACGTAAAGTTATAAGCAATACCAAGTTACTTGTGTCAACGCCATAAAGCTTTGATGACACATCATTAAATCATTCAACCACAGCCAGATCTATTACGAAATGCGATCATCAATAATGGTCCGCCATCTAAGAAGACATGACTCATTTAACTAGTCATCGAGCAAGCTCTTTGAAAAAGTCATTAGATTGAATTGGAGATAGAACGACACTCAGTCGGTCTCAAAAAGATAGTTCTATTTGTTAATTCCGAAATGGAGACAACTTTTTTTAAACTGCAAATTTAATATCATCTTTAAAGGGGAGCCTTGGCGTAACTGGTAAAGTTGTTGCCATGTGACCAGGAGATCACGGGTTCGAGCCGCGGAAACAGCCTCTTGCAATAATGCAGGGTAAGGCTGCGTACGATAGACCCTCGTGGTCCGGCCCTTCCCCGGACATAGCGGGAGCTTAGTGCACCGGGTTGCCCCCCCTTTTTTTATATGGTACAAAAAGATGGATCATATTATACTCCTTAAAAATTAATTTTAATGAGAATACTGTTTAATTAATATATACTTAAAGCACACAGGGTCAAAGAAAAGAACCTACATGTTCCCTGACAAATGCTAAACAACTCACATGTCATATCTTCTCCATGTAATCATTGTGATAGGGGAAAGAGTTCGAAATATGAAAAAGGTAATATCTTCTTCATGTAATCATTGGGATAGAGGGAGGAGTCCAGAATATGAAAAAGGTAGACTAGTTGACTAAAGGAAATCATCTAAACTTTGAAATAACAACAACAACAACATACCCAGTGTTGTCCCATAAGTGGGGTATGGGAGGGTAGAGTGTACGCAGACCTTACCCCTACCTTTAAAAAGGCAGAGAGGTTGTTTACGGAAGACCCTCGGCTTAAACTTTGAAATAACATAGAACAGCATAACTTTATGGTATCCTGGATTACTGGAGGGAAACTTTTGCCTCAAAGAAAGAATTTGAGTCTTCTGAAACGAACATAAGATGATAGTTCATTCACATTTTGTGGAGGGATTAACTAAAGTAGACAAGTATTCTAGTCACTTAGAAATATGGGAAAATATTGCCAGCATTCTTATTTAACTGCTATATGTTAGATGATCATTGGATCAGAGTAATAGATCAATATGGTTAGGTATTCTGGTTCTCATTAAATTTAAGATCCCCCTATCTATTAGCTTCTTCATTTCCGATCCTTGCAATTTAAGTGATGAATACTGCATGTTCATAGTTAAGGGCAAAGGAAAATAACAATGCATTTAGTGGTCAGTTATGCATTTTGTTAGCCTTCTCTAAGATAATGTTTATGCAAAGAACAGTTTTTATCTCACAAAATTTCAATGTTACACAAATCTTACTTCGCTCAGTTGTATATTGATACTACTGGGGATAAAAACATAGTTCAGATTACTATGCCTAGGAGTACAGATAGTGTCAGATGATCTCAACTGTATGGTCGACCATGATAATATATCTTACACTTGAACAAATTAAATTGCAATATGAATTCACAAAATCAAGAAATTGAAAATCAGAAAAATAAGAATTCAGCTATGGAAACCTAAAGCATACTATTACTGTATCTCCAAGGATAAATAAATGAACTTACAGGAAGTGTTTCCCATATTGCCTCGTCATTCATGCTTTCATCATCTCCAGGTAATAACGCCTTACACATTCTGCTCCAAATGGTAAAAGGTATTTATCCACCAGTCAGACATGGCACATAAGTGAGAGGGTGAAGGTAGCATCCAAATACCATGATTTTAGATAAGCAAGTGTACTACTATTTCCATTCCATTATTGGTTATCATGCTTTTCATTATTTTACACACAACAGGTCATGCACAAAGAATTTAACAGCTCATATTGCAGAAAATGGACTAGAAGGCAAGAAATATTAAAAGTGACCAATATGTTGAACAAATGACAGATTTCTACTCGGAGGCACAAGCAATGTTAACACTAACCCTATCAGGAAGCAAATAGTTTATTTTTGAAGCCTTTAATGGCATGAATTGCTAATATTCGTTAGAAATGAATAGTTTTCTGTTGCAAATGCCATCTTTATTACACTAAAATGTACCAATGAAAAGCTATACAACAATGGCTTGGTTCTAAGAGGAAGGGCATTATGGAGATTATTTTAAGAATTATGGCAGTACAAAAACCACAAGATTGTCTTTTCATAGTAAAGCAATCAAAGAAATAAGTGGAAATCACCAAAAATATGTCTACCTGAAATTGTCAATGAGAATAATTAATTCAAATGCTAACAAGGGAAGAAAGACAATTTTCAAATTCACCGCTGCAGAATGGATGACTGCACAAAAACACAAGAGAAAAAGTAAGTAAAGGACAATTCTCGCTAACAAACTAATAGGATCTATAGGCACACCTTGAGATAGTACAAGAAAATTGAGAAGTAAAAAATCTGTCGGAGTCATACTACAAAGATTGTGGAGTTCGTCTTTCTTACCATATATGCTCTCGAGATGTATACAAAGAAGTAGTTCAAAGGCTATAAGCAGAGGTATCCCAACAACAGCATGACATGGTGCCCACTATTCACAAGGAGGCAACGGCGACAGAAGAAAGAACACAAAAGCAGAATAGAAATTTGGTAAGTACTTTTGCTTGGACAGACTTCCTTTTTCTGATCAAAATTTAAAGAAGATTGCTGCATAAAGTCATACATTGCGATCATGGGGAACTGATGGAGCGGGCAGGGAGAATCTTCCTCGGGCAACAACAGCATGAAACAGCCATAGAGGGAAGAATACAATCCTGCATATCCAAGTCAAAGTCATAATGAAACATTTCTAAATCTAAACCTGTAAAGGACTTCTTGTTACTGATAAAGGAAATTTGAGGGGCAATATACTAGTAGCCCCTTTGTCTATAAAAGGAATCTTTCCATCTCTTATAAAAAAAATTCATTCCAGTGTTATACAAGTGCCCCATTAATCCTTGTTCCCTACTCCCTAGATTGCATAACCCAAATTTCAAGAGAAGATGAACGTTGGGGTTACCGCACCTAAGGTGTGGCCTAGTGGTCACAGAACTATGAGATTTCATGCTAAATAACACTAGGTGAATTTTTCCGCCTTGGTGACAGAGTTACCCGATAATTGTGCTGGTAAAAGGCAGCACATAGGTTCGTGCAAGCCCCGGCACTACCATATTTAAAGAGAAAAAAATAACAGATATGCAAAGAGAAGGCTGTTCACTCGACCACTCATATACACCCAATTAAGCTTATTATATATATATATATATATATATATATATATATAATAATTGTATTNCCCAAAAAACATAAGTGACTCCTTTTTTTTAGTAAGTCCCTTTCTCTATTTGGTAACAATTCAACTTTAAATTATTTTTTTTACCACTAATGAGATGATTTCTAAAACAAAAAATTTAAAGATTTATTTAAGATTACAAGTTTCAAAAGCCTTCCTTTATTTTATAAAATTCATGCCCAGTTAAACAATTTCATATAAATTAGGACGGAGAGAGTATAATTTATGTAAGGAAAATAAATAATAAGTTAGATTATTAGATATAGTTACGTGACCAACTAATGAATAGAGAAATATAATTATGTAAAAAAGTAAAATAAGATTGACAGAAAACTATTTTAGTTATATTAATTAGAAAAAAAAATCGAGTTATTAAAAATTAATATGACAATAAAGAAATAAATTTATCAATAATAAAAGATAATTATATAAATAATATACTACTATATATAGAGAATACTAGTAATTTTGGGGCCCTTAAATTTTTGGGGCCTAAAGCAAGTGTTTCACTTGCTTTATGGTTGGGCCGCCCTGTTTAGTATAAAATAATATAAAAAGTAGGTCCCGACGTATTTTCTTAATAAATGGTGCAAAATAAGTCATGAAGAGTGTAGAGTTTTTTCCTTTTGTTTATAAAGATCAAAAGAAGAAAGTGGAAAAGTCAATTTTGGTATAGAGAGAATCGGCACATGCAATTGTTTGATAACTGCTCAATGTATATAAGGTATACGTCACATGAGAAAAAATGCAACTTGGAATATTAATAACGCTCTAATTTTAACTAGCAATATTAACAATTTTGAGGGATCAAAGTTGCCCGCCAATAAATAATGTTGTTTTATAAAGTCTTTAAGTCAACGGAACATATCCTTGCTATGTAAACGCCCAAGAAAAATAAAAATACGAAAAGGGGGAAAAACAAAAATATGGAAAAAAAAAATTAAAAGGAATAGCTAAGATGACAATGATTAAACTATAGTTTGTCATTATGCTGCAAATTATCACAACGGATAGCTGTATTTGTAGTCTTCTTGTAAAGGGGTCTTTTTTCTACAGAATCGTACCATAGCACAAGAAAACAAAGGAAAATGCTATTTGCAAATGAACAACTACTGTGGTGACATACATATATAGGCGCACAAACTCAATCGACTAACTCGATAAAAATTACTAACGCCTTATTCTACGTGAGTTAGTCGATTTCGATTAGATTAGATCGTCCGAAAAAAGAAGAGCAAAAAACCTAACACATTATTTTTTTCCTCTCCTTTTGTATAAATGAAATCCACAACATATATATGCAATGATATATGAAAATAGTTGGTGCAGCTCTAGTACTGTTGTCTGGCATTTTGTTTACAAATTAAAGTTCAATTATCACCTAAATTATTGCATGATTATTTCAATAATTCTATATTTAATAGTCAAAACATAAAGAATAGTCAGGTTAGATTGGAAAATTTTTTGAACTTCTGAAAATAGTAATAGCACTGCCAATTCACGTCGTATTATTTTCCTGGAAAGAAAAAGTTACTTGGAACCTTCCCCTCTCACAATTAGCTCAAATAAGTATATCAAATCGTTTTTTTAAACTTTTAGCCATACAACAATGTCTACTGTTTTTTATATGTAGTTAATTATAGTTACTATATTTTTTCAAAAGGTTGAATCAAAATTATATCTTTATAGATTTTGAAAAAACAGTTAAATGCACACACGAATTTTTATAAACTTATCCATCTAAAAGCAAAATTCAGAGATAAGAAATTGTTTGCCAATAATCAAACCTCAAATCAATTCCAAATCAAATGCCACCTTGTCAATCATTTCTTATATGTTCTAGAGAAAAAAAGGAGCTAAGTATTTATAATTATACACCATATAAATTGGGAGATATAATTACTGATCATTTCCTATTCTGTTTCTAATCTTGATGCCGACGTCATTTTTTATTTACCGTTTTGGTCGTTATTTGACAAGATAGTTTTGGCATGCGCATGGAAAGGAACATGGACTTTGGCCAGTCTTCAAAACATGAATGTAAAACAAAGCACCGCTAGAAAATGTCAAATTTCCGACTACTAAATCGGTCCGAAATAAGTGGTCAGAATATAGATGGTCGCAAAAAAATTTCGACCAAAACGATCGGAAATTTGCGACCAAAACAGTCGCAAAGAGGAAAAATCTGGGTGACCGGCTAAAATTGTCTTTTGTGACCGAAATGGTCAGTAATTTTGCGACCAGAACAGTCGTATATTTAAATTAAATAATTAATTATTTCGTGCCAATACCGACCGTTTTGGTCGGTGATGTTAATAATTTATTTAAATTAAATTCGAAATTTCCAACCAAATCGGTCTTGGAAAAATTAAAATTAAATTAAAAAATAATTAATTTTTGCAACCACTTCAGTCATAAATCTGGAAATTTTCAGTTAAATTTTCCGACCAAAATAGTCAGAAATTCTAAAAAATTTCAGTAGAATTCTGTTGCATTTTAAGCTACACCACCTGCAATTCAAAACTAATCATTCATCCTAATATGTGTCACAATTGCTCAAATAATTGAATACAAACCATCAAATATCAAACTACCAATCTATACAACACTTTCAAACAAGTCAAAACACATCTATTATAACACATTAAAGTGTAAAAACTTCAACCATATGGCATTCAAGTATAAAACACACAATCCAAGTGTAAACCCAACCAAGCCGAAACCAATAAAGTCTAAATTCATATTACATTCAAAATTACTACTGATCATCATCGGTTTCAGTCTCTTCATTGTTAGATTCTTCCATCCTAGGTTATTTTTCATGATTTGCCATGAATGTCCACATCATATTTATTGTTTCTTGAGCATTATTCCATTGTTGAGACAATTCATTGATTTGCGTACGCATTGTCTCAATTTCTTCGGGTGAAGAAGAAGCACCACTAAATAATGCGGCTAGACGACGGCTTCACTCCAATCCCGTAGACTCTACCTTTATTTATTTTCATGAGAAATAAAAATAATATATTTAAATGAGTAAGAGAAGAAACATACAACTTGTGCAAAATAATATTAAAACGAAGTCATATCTAAAAAATTACTAAAATATTTTATACCTTTATTGACTTCTCCGGCTGCTTGTGTCCATATCGAAGTCATATCTTCGGGCGTCGGCTGAGAATCGGGCTGAGTTTGTTGTCACTCCTCCATTCTTCTGTGATACCCTTCCTGAAATATTGTTGACAAACATTATATAAACGAATTAATCTTAACCAAGAATAAAGGTAGTATTGTTAGAATCTTACATATGTCTCCGATGCACGCGGTTCGACCCATGCCTCTCTTGTACCATCATTCTTCTTATTCTTCTTATGTGTCTCCTCAAAGACGGTTGCATGAGACACATCTCCCCCATGTGCCTTTTCCTTTCAAAATAAAAAATATGAGTTTATTACTTGAATCTCATATAAGTAAAGCAGTAAAATTTTATAAATAACTTACCAATATCAATCGATGGGCTGCAAGACTAATTGAACCTCCGGTGTATAACGAGCCACCCTTACTGGAGGCTCTGTTTGCCTTCGCCTTTTCACTCGTCTGCTTCCATTCTTCGATATTCCACTTCGCCAATAGTTGATTCCAGATATCTTGGCGCAACCACAAAGGCCTGCTCCCACCTTTCCGAGCAACAAAATGAGTATCTTTAATCCTGTTCTGAGCTCTCTTCTAAAAAATTTCATTCACCAAAATTTCATGCTAAGGCTGCCATACACACTTAGTCTGCAATTAAAATAAATTTTAGACGAACACAATAAATATTATATAAATTATATTTATTCGTACCTTAAATTGAAATCACATATTCAATCCGATTTGGTATGGAATCTCTCTTTAGGAATTCCACGGCTCATGGAATGGCTTCATAGCTTCCACAACCATATGTGTGGCCTGAAAGGATGGTAAAAACCTGCACTATATGTAAAATAAACATTCATTAAATATATGTAGATCTTTATTCTAATAATTAAAAATTAAAGAATTACTTACCCGTCCCATGGGGTACGATAATCAATCGATGCATATGATCGTACTCTATAGTCAAACTAGCATACTGTTTCCGTGAAGGAGCAACTGAAACAGCACTAGTAGATGGGGATGCAACCGCCTGAGATCCTCCAATATCAAGTCTAGAAATACTATGAGTAGATGATGATGGAGATGATAATGGAGTGGATGATGATGGAGGCACAAAAGATGGACCATCATGCCCTCCCTAGGATGGAATCAATGGTGAGCCATCATGTTGACTAGCAGTGAAACAAGGACTCAAAGGTAAAAAATTAGGCGTGGGCATAAATTTTATGGTAGTGGAGGGTGAGGCTGAGGCTGAACCACCGTTGGCCGGCATGGAATAATACTGTACTATGCTAGCGGGGAGGGGAGCTCTGAAAAACTCAGGTGGTAATGCATTCGTCGGCCGAGAAGGACGAGAAAAACTAGGAGGAGGACTCATCCTA